GATGTCTCTACAAAAAGAATAGCTTTGAAACAAAAAAATAGGCAAGCTCAAAGATTAACTTTCAATTCGTTGAACTTGAGTTTCCAAATAAAGCTGTAGTTTACAAGCTCGTTCTAATTTAAAGCACGGCAAGTGCTTTGGTTGGTGTCACTAATTAAATAAAAAATAAGTGACAATAAAACCTGGAACTTGAGCATTGAAAGTTTGTGCAGCCTTAGCTTCTTGTGGATAAACACGATTAGTCATCGCTTCTAATTTGACAGGCACGAGTTCTAAGCCTGGCACTTGCAGTAAAAACAAATTATATACGGACTATAAACTAATTAAATAAAATTCGATTATTTCCAAAGACCACTGATGAAGAGTACTTGGCAATACTCGAAACAGCGTTGTATGGTCAGCCAAATTTCAATAAATTACATAAAAAAAATTTTTGTCTTTGCCTTTCTTTGCTATTCGAATCGGTCTAACTTTTAAATAGTTTCTTTCGTCATAAAAAGACACGCCATTATCGGCAAGAAAAAATTTACCTCAATTTATTTTATTTTTATAATAGGTATATTTATTGAGTTATCACGAAAAGAAAAGTTATCACGAAGCGATTATCATTAGGATCGTGTTTCTGCAGAAAACGTCTTCTTTATAGTTCTGTATCAAATATTTATATGTCGATATAGTCAAATACTGAATTAAAGACGTAATATTAATGTAGATTATTTGAGAAATTAATTTCGTAATTTTTTTTAAATATGTTTGTCAATAAATAACAAAGCAGAGAAAAAATAAAAATTAGTGGATTTACTTTAGTGCAGAAATTCAATAATTTATGTAAAACGATGTGGAAATGGCTTAGGTATTACTTTTCTTATTAATGTTTTGTTAATTTTGTAATTAAAACTATTTTTAAATATAATTTAATTTCATATGATTACCGTTTTCAAATGTTGTTAATATTTTGTTAGTTAAATTAATTTGTATTATTATTATGAAATAAATATTTTTACTCTATACAATTAGTTAATAATTTTTCACAATTTTTTTTCCACTGTCATGTGATATATATATATGCAATTCCGTTTTTAATATTAATTTTAATATATAATATTTTAATCCTTTTAAATAACTGATCCTCTACAAATCCATCGTTGTTGCAAACAGTTTGAGTGTGACTGCAATAATATTTTCTAACTGTCAAAACATTATGAAAATTTTATGTTGCAGTAAAAATGATATTTTCTGACTTTTTCTCAAGAAATGTGTCAAAGCTGTTTTACACGGAGCTTTCACAACCGTTCACCAGCAATATCCGAAAGAAACTGTTTCGAATATTTGTAGGTTGCATATGAAGCACTGCAGTAAGTAATTCCTTCACGAAGTGCTTCACATGCTCCTTTTCGAATAAAGAAATAAAAAACAAAAACAAAATAAATAAGCGAAGGGGATGCGAAATAAACATTGCGCAGGCTTCACGCTTATTATTGAAGCATATATATAAAATAATATAAACAAAAGCAACAATCTGTTTAGAAAACAAGTTTTTATTAAATAATAAACACAAAAAACAGACTATTTAATTATCTATAAACTATTGGAATAATAATAATTAGATTATTTATAAATACCTTTATTTCCTTTATATCCTTTTACACTTTTCATTTCACACATGTCCTGCAGCACATGATTCGAAAAGCACGTGTTCTATTGTTTATATACAGAGTAGGTACATATGTAAGTGCAAGTACACTTGTTATATGTTTTATATCACATGCCGTTATGTATAAATTTTCAGTTTTAATATATATGCCATGACCTGTCCTAACCTTAAAAAGCTTACACCGTGCAGGCATTTGTTTTGTCTTTATATTGATTATGGAGGAAAGAAAATTATTTTAATTTTGGTAAGTTTTTGTTTTATTTCTCCTGAGAGAAAGACAAACTAACTTTGAAAAATGTGAAAAACTTTAAACAATTTCTTTTTCGAATCCAATTATTTTTATTTATTATGCAAGCACATGTCGGTATTTCTTGCCTTCAGCAATTACAGCTGTTTGTAAACTGATGACGTCACTTCCCGTTTTCATTACTTCGAAAAAAAAGGACATATTAACAATACGCCAATTTCAAGGATAAATAAAATGAAAGTGCATATGAAAAGGGAAATGCAAATTTGTTTTTTACTTTTATTTCCTTGTGCAATTAAATGTGTTGAGTTCATTTTTATATGCGGAGTTTTTCAAATTTATTTTTCATACTATTATTTCTATTAATTTTATTAAAAAATTTTTAAACACTCTCAATCTAAACAAGAAAAAACCACGTTAATGAACTGAATTCTCAGTTTTTATTTTTTAATAATGTTAGGTTAAGTTGAAGCTACTGAGCTTAAATCGTAAGCATTTAACAACGGGTTAAAAATCAAAAATTAAAGTTTTAAAGGGTTAATAGATAAATTTTTTTTGAGAAGATAAGAATTTCGTGCCTTTAATGAATTTGCTATGAATAAATAAATAAACACTAAATTTTCAATTTTTATTTTCAATTGTGTTAGGTTAAGTTAAGACTACTGAGCTTAAATCGTAAAAATCTGGGCCTCAGATTTAACCCGTTGTTGGGTTAAAAATCAAAAATGAAAGTTTTAAAGGGTTAATAGATACATTTTTTTTGAGGAGATAAGAATTTCGTTTATGCTTTAAATGCCCAATTTCACAATCATCAGTTAAACTAAGTTCAGCACAATCAAACATTAAACTACTTGCGCGAATTTAAACTTTGGCTAACTTAAACGTTCACAGATGGGGCTTAAACTCACTATCATTCCTGGTGAATTATTTATTGAATAGCAATTGAAAGTTAATAGTTTTTTATTTGATAGGAGAAATTGTTTTATTGTTAAGTATATTTACCCATGACAATGTCCGCGAAATCATATTACTGAAGAAGACCAATCCATTTCTGGGAACTTTACTACGTCACCATTACCTTCACCACTAGCATAAAAGTGTCGTTTTATTTTGCAGCCTTTTTTTCTAATAATTGTTTGTATATGTTTTTTAATTTATTCATGTTTATATATTTAATCCGGCATTCCATAATATGCCACTGCCAGGACTGCATAATTTTTCGTCTCTTTTGTTCAAAATTTTTACTTACTTTTATAAAAATACCGCATTTGTTTTTTTTTCATTCGTTAGTAAATCTATGTTTTTAAATTAAGGTCAATTATTTCACAATTTCTGTGCTAAAGCTTCTTTTCTTTTCCGATATCTTAACAGTTAAATTGAATTGCTTCTTCAAATTAACCAACTGCCCTTAAATCAGCTGATGCGAGTACTACGTATGTTCAGTGAAAGTATAAAATCAAATATAGTGAAACTGGCAGTTATTTAAAAAAAAAACTATGAAATTATTGTAAAACGTTTTGTCAGAGTTTAAAGTTTATTTACACTTTCGCAATGCTTAACTAAGCAAAAGCTTAAATGATTCTAAAAGTCGGTATAATATTATGTAAAACAGAAACAAAACCTTTTGTGAAGATTGCTACATAAAGAGTAAAATCAAAAAACCCTTTCCCAAAAGAAAAGAAAACATATATTAACTTGGAGCAAGTGAATCGCTCTATAAATAAGTTTGTTTGACACCATTGTCCCGGCCCTGATATATTTTAGTAATAATCAAATATTGAAAAAACAGCAACGACTGTAGCAAAAGATTTCTGGTTTTTAGCCGGGTTTTATAAATCAATTATTTAATTACCAACTAGTGGTCGATTATCTGATTTTGTAATAAAGTTTTATCGACAAAACTATATAGCTGACTTTTATGTTACAAATACTACTTGAACAGGTACTTAGTAAAGGATTTTACAGATTGTTAGTTACAACATATTATAGAAATTAAGTTAAAAAAGAACCACAGGAAAATTTCTAATAAAACTTATATCGGTAGGTGCAAGAACCTATATAAGCATCAAGAAAACGTAAAATATAAATTATGTTAACATATACTAATATTTGTACAAAGACTCGGAAAATAAGTTGTTTATAGCCCTAATTTTTTCTTTCAGAGCTGTAAAAAAACAGCGTTAAGTCTGGTTAAATCAAATTAGCATCACTTTTGAAATATGGTAAATGGTTTTTTTTAACACATGCTTTTTGTTGTGTTATGTACAATGCGAAATATAAAAATTGTAAACATTAGAAATTAATTAATTTAAATAAACAAAAAAACAATATAAATATTATAAAATATATTGTATTTAAATTCGTTTATTTATTTATGTATTTGAATTTATATTAGTAAACTGAAATGCTCATGTCATTTTAACGTATGACTGGAATTTTGGAACATATTTCCAGATGACATTCATAATAGACTGAATAAAAACTAACTAACTCTGAAGATTTTAGGAGCATTGTTGTTGCTTCACATGTTTTCTTTAGTAAGTTGCAAGTATTTTTTGCTACTCTAAAAGAGAAAATTACGGCTTCTGTCATACTAAGACCCATTAAGAAGTTAAATTAGTTTTATTAACACTAACACATTCTTATTTATTGATTTTTTTGTTTTATTAATGTCTTTTTATATTCAATTTTCAATTTTGACAAATTGCTAAGTACTTTTATTTGAGAAATTTTTAAAATTACGGCCGTGTGCGATTTCGAGTAAATTAAGATAAAGTAAATTGAAATTTACTAGGGATTTTTTGCACTGCACTTATGTAAATATTTATTTATTTATTTATTGCACTTATTTATTATTTTTGGTTAAAAGTTTTCAAATTTTTTTAGTTATTTATTAAACATCATATAAAATTTTCACAATGACAACACCTTATTTAACCAATTTTTACTAATTTACCCTACTCGAATTTCTAGTAAATACCAACTATACCGCTGCCTTACTGACATTTTCTCAATTTTCTCAATATATCCCTCAATTAACCATTAATTTACTCAAACTCGCACACGGCCTAAATGTTAAATTAGATATTAAACTAAAAACATCTGGTCACCCCAAGCCGTTGTTTAACAATTGTTCTGTCACATTGAGCAAATTTTGATGCAATAATAAGAACAGGAAAAATATAAAATACTCAATAAAAACATTATGCTGTCACGACGGGTGGCAGCAATTATTGGTTTTCAAGTAAGGAATTTATCAAAGAAATTGAATTATATTAACAAACCTACGATGAAACAAGTGCACGAGGAGTTACTGCTCCATATTGATCCTCAACCAAAAATAAACATTTGTGCTGACATACAAGTGATAGTCAGAGTAGCCGATGTGCATGCATATCCCAATGGTGATGTGTTTATTGCAGAGCTACATGGCGGTCATGTAAAAAACTGCGGCTCCGCTATGAACATTAAGGTCAGTGAGGACGAAAAAGAAGTAGATGTTAAATTGACGAAACTTACGGAGGACACAGACTTCCATTGTGAGCTCATGGTTCCAGTTAGATCCAGTTTAAATATAAAAAGTAAAGCCAATTGTATTTTGTCCAACTTGCATAGCGATGACATATGTGTTGATGCAGAAAAAAATATCAAAACAACAGATATTAGAGCCACAAATATAACATTTAACAGTAAAAATGGTGATGTCAATTGTGCTGGTCTACTACTGGGCAACGAAACAAATATTGCTACTGAGGGAAATGGTGTAAGTAGTCATAGTTAAAATAATACAAAAATTTTTAACATTGAATTTTATAGGAAATTACGTTAAATAAACCTCTTGGTAACATGCTGAAATGTAGAACAATCTCTGGGAACATCACTACAAATTCCTGCTATTCAAATAGTTCATTTTTTGAAACAGATTTTGGTCGTTTGAAACTGAAAAATGTGCATAAACAATCCAAAGTTGTGGTGCACAAGAACGGACGACTTGAAATGAGTATGAGAAACTATATAAACGCTTAAAACATTAGGTTATTTGCTTATTATTTCAGCCGGCGTACATGGCAACATCAATTTACACATAAATGGCGGTGATATAAATTTACAACTTACAGAAATACATGGAGAAAGTAATGTGTACAATGTGGCTAACACAGAATCGATTATAAATGTGTCGGATGAAGTTGAAGCTAATACACATATAGCAGTGAAATCAGCGCTTATTGTATTAGATCCTTCGCTATCTCATTTGAATAGTTGTTTATGTCCAGAGAGTAAAAAGTTTTCTCTAAAACGAGAAGATACCAATCCAAATCAATTGAATGTATGGTCTAAAGGCTGTGTTAAATTAGGTAAAAAGTCGTGGACCGAAATTACGACTACATTATTTAATGTGTCCAAAAAATAAATACTAAATATTATTTTAAAGTACTAATACTTATTGTAATACAATTTAAATTTTATGTGTGTTTATAAACATTATTTATGAATTAAATATAAGCGTTAATTGTTAAAATTTGATTTTTTTTACTCTCCAACCTGCTCTATTTGATGCAACTGTTCTTTTACTTTATTTACGCATTCCGCAATACGTGGATCTGTGTTAAGCGACATTTCAGTTCGTAATAATACTTCAATTGTGTTAGTAGTATTTTGTAGAAATTCTTTCATTTTTACATCATCCATTTTTAAAATTGTTTCAGTGATAATGTCTCTTAAATTTTGCAGTAATAATATTTTCTCTTCATCTTCCTCAGGAGTTGAGCAATCTCCGAATTCATCAGACTCAGTTTCTATTCCGTCCAAGAGTTTCCACCAAATTTGTAGTATGCAGTCAAGCAATTGTGAGTCAAAAGGGTATTCAATAAACTGCAAAATCAGCACAGAAAATATATATATTAATATTTTATCATAAATAGAAATAGTATTTATATAAATAAATAGATTAGCACATGCATTACCTTAAGCATTCCGGCTATAGTTTCGATTGCATCAAACTCAAAAGTTTTTACTGGTAAGATTGGTTCTGGTCTTAGTAATGTGCTTCCTATAGTCACAAAGCAATCACATAAACTGTCTACATATAAACTGTAGGTGCTAACAGGTTCGTTTACGAATAACGTTAGTGTTTCCTGTATACTAAGAAATAGTGTCATTCTCCTTGTGTCCTTAGTAGTAAAATGTGTATCGCCTCTCATTTCATCATTCGTCTGCGGAAGTAAAGTTTGAAATGCTTCTATAGTACACTCTATAACATCTTCAACGTTTGGTATGCAATCATAAAATTTATTTTTATCAATTTCAGTATCTAACATCACAATATTTGACCAATTTCTTAAAATAGCGTTAAGCGTTTCCATTGTGGTTTCAAGTAGTGTATCATGAACAGAGTTATATAGTATATAATATATAGATTTTATAACGGATGCGTCTGGAAATATTTTGTATAACTCTAAAGACTCTTCTGTATTTAACTTACAAAGCATCGTATGCAGCAAACGTCCAGTTTGTATCAATGTCAAGACATCGCTGCATGCGAACAAACTTAATATAGTCGACAATACATCCTTTTTTTGTAAAAGTATTGCACAAGTATCTTTAATGCTACACATATTTGCTATTATGCCCACTAGTATTTCAATTAAGCGCTTATCATCTGAATTTTTAATGTATTCTGCAAATATTTCGAGCACTCCTTGCTCTAATAGAAAATTTATAACTTCTTGTTCCATTGTCATATCCCATAGGTAGCATAGCTCATCTTCAAATTGTCTATCCTTTTCCAGACTTTCTTCTAAAGATTTAAGTTTTAACAAAGTGTTTAACACAAAACGTGCACTGTACAAGGTGCCTTCAATGGCGTCACCAAGTAATATTTCATTATCCGACTCGTCAGTATCCACTTGGCTTGGATTGCAATTTATTACACCTTCATTCCCCTCGTTTGAACCGGAATTGTTGGAATTGGCATTGTTGACATTTTCAACTTTCACACAATTTTTATCGTCGTCAAATTCTTCATCAGACATTTTGTGTTCAGCTAAATAATTTCATAAATTGTTTTTAATTGACAGTTGGGAAAGAACAGTTTCTGTTTTTTATGTTTACGCAGTTTCTTGATTTTTTAAACTTGTCAATGAGTGACAGTTATGCACAGAGTTGTATTTAGTTAAGTTTTTAAAATGCAATTTTTAAAATTTTATCTAATGAATACAATGTATGGGAATTACATATATAATATCTTTAAAAATTAATGGTACATTTAGGCCTTGTGCGAGTTCGACTAAATTGGTGATAAATTGAGGGAAATAGTAAATTATGTCGGTATAGCAGAGAATGTTCATATTTATCAGAATTTGGAGTAGGGTAAATTAGATAAAAATTAGATAAATTGTGCGTTAGCCTTGTGAAAATTTTATAAGAAGTATAATAAATAAATAAATAAATTTTAAAATTTTTAACCAAAAATAATAAATAAGTGTAATAAATAAATAAATAAATATTTACAAGTGCAGTGCAAAAAATGCCTAGGAAATTTCAACTTACTTTATCTCAATTCACTTGAACTTGCACACGACGTTAAGAGTTATTTTTAAAAACATAAATTTTTTTTTTGATTCTGTTTTCAATATGATTATTCACAATAAAGTATGAACACTAATTATACACTCTTTCAAATTTATTTTCCTTCGCAGATTTATTTTCTCTGTGTGTTTATCAAACAACTATCATCTCGTTGCGAGTTTCTTGACACAGTGTATAGCAAATATGATAAAACCCAACCCCCAAATATATGTTCAGTAAAATAATGCAAACGTAATGTAGTAAATAATATATATATATATGTACTTCAACTTATACCATGTTTTTAGTGCAGCGTAATCAGCTTAAAATTTGGATGTTTTCATTGGCATAAATTGATTTATGCATGTGACACATCTTTTGGGTATCAAAATGTTTGTTTACATATTTCAATTATAACCAGATAGTATTTAGTTTTGTATTATTAGCATAAATTATTTTAATGGATCATAGAAACCGCAAAAAAATACAAAAAATTTTATATGTAATGTATGTGAATTTGTTTGCAATAAAAAAAAAATAGAACATATGGAAGACATCATGCAATGCATCGAAAAAGTGTAGTGTTTATATTTTTAAAGAAATTATATCTTTTTAAAAATTCTCATATCTGTCTTGTTTTTTATTGACATACTTTTTTCCTCATGTGTCAAATAACTCAAATTTCTATAATTTCCCTTTTAGGAAATATTATGCAATGTAACATTGGATATGTTTGGTATATTTTCATTTAATTTACTCTTATAGTACTTTCACACTGTTTCATTTAGGCACTTGGTCATTTATATTAATGAGTGAGCGTTTGCATTATAATAAGCTCATTTATGCAGTTTATAGAACTTTTATAACCTTTACTTAACAATATATCACAAAAAAAAAAAATATATATATATATATAATTGATAAATTGAATCATTTAGATACATTTTATATATCAATTACATATTCAATTATTAAAAACAAAGATTTTATTAAATACTTACTTCCTTAGTGCCTTTGTTCGCAGTTCAGCTGTTGTTTGTTTACATTTCACATATAAAACATATGATAAATATTTCAAATTTTGGTAATTTCCCTTATGGAAAATTTATTTTTAAAGGTTGCATTCGACATTTTTTGGCTTAAATCAGATGATTTATTGAAAACTATCTAATTTATATGAAAGATTTTTGTATGGTAAATCATACACATTAGTGGTAAAACCGCCTAAATGAGAAAGTGTAAATGTGCTATTAGGGTTATAAAGTTTCAGACACAGTTTTCTTAAAGTTCTCTACATAATAAAATAGTGTTGAAGCCTGAAAATATTAGTTGTGCACACATTTAGAAATTACTCTCTTTTTCTGACAGCATATATTTAATTGTTTAAATAATATAAAAAAAATGTATTTATTGAACTTGTTTTATTGTATATCAATTTCCATAAAACCATCTGCATTGGTCAAGTGTTGCATTTGCTTCTGAGTACTCTCTTCCACAATAAAACCAGGACCAATTAAACAATGTTTAAGTATTGAACCTTTTTTCACAACTGCTTTATGGCCAATGATGCAATTTTCAATATTGCAGCTAAAGAGAAAAGTTAGTAAATAACTATAATACAATATATAAGATATTATAATCTTACCCTTCCTCAACTAAGGCGCCTGCCAAAATCAAAGATTTATTTATAATATTTTTAGGATGAACAGTACAATTCGAACCAAAGACACTGAAATTTAAAGAAGTTTTCTCGGAAAGTTTTGCGTTTTCAGCAACAGCAATTTCTTTTGTTTGTGTTGAACTGACTACAGAGTTTGGTGACACAAGTGGATGGAGTTGCTCTCCACATAATTGTGACCAAATGGAAGATAGCTAAAAAAAAGAGAAAATTTGTATTAATAAATTCTTTACATTATATACATGTACGCCCTAAAAATATTCACCTTTTGATTAATGGCGAAAAAGCTAAGCGTAGTATTTACTCTGACTCCAATCTTATCCTTTGGTGCTTCTATGGCATAACAGCGCACTAAGTCACCATTGTAAGGTTCAGCACTGCGCGTGTCATTGTAGAGTGTTGTCTTTTGTATTTGTTGATCCAGATTGGTTTGTGGTATGAACTAAAGTGTAAAGAATTAATAAAAATAATTCCAAACAGATATAAAAAAGGTTTATACATTGAATATGTCATCTTCCTGTTTGTTGCTGACGCCAATTTCTGACTGTGTATCTGGTACATTGCTTACAGTTTTTTTAGACATTTGCTTTTTGATAATGTATGGTAAAAATTCTCCCTTTAAGGTGGTAAAATGATCTTTCTGCAATTTGTTTAATTTATATGTAGTAAATAATAACTCCACGTATTTTATATTATTTCATTACCTTAATAAGAAAATCCACAACCCATTTTTTTAACACATATATATGTGAATCAACCAAACGGGAGTATATAACCATTTTTTTATTTTTACGCAACAAATGTGCATTGACATTCATAACTTCATCAAAGTCACTTGTTGATGCGAGGAACAATAAGCGCTGTGAGTCAGGATGTATACCTATAAGATCACGTTCCGGCTTGTGTTTCGATTTTGGTCCCGGCACAGTTACATCTAACTCAAAACCACTCTTGAATAGTAACGCAGCAACAGAAGCATCATGTTGACGAAATTTATTAATCAATGGATACAAACTAACATTCGTCACAATATCGCATGTTAACACAATGAAATCAGATTTGATTCTATTTAAAGAAAAATATTTATTTATTTTATATATATGTCAATTAAATGTATACATACTTGTCGTGTATATAACGTAAACTATCAGCGGTGCCAAAATCATGGTCACTAGGTATGGACACAAAATCCAATTTTATTTTCAGTGGCGTTCGTTCAAGCGTTTGTTGAATTTCCGATTTTTCAGTTTCCAAAACAATTACAATAGCCTCTAAACAATTTTTGTTCAAATTTAAATAAAAATTCAATTATTTTGTTTGTAAATACCTTGAAAATTGTGTTGCTGTAGTAAATTTAGTGGAAACCACAATAATGGATACGGCCCAATGGGCAGTAAACATTTTGGTGCATTTCCTAAAACTTCCGGTAAACGTGAACCACGTCCACCTGCCAACACAATCGCTTGAAACTCTTGCGAAACCATAATAGTTTTTGTTTAAAGAATATAATGTTATTAATAGTGTAATATTTGTTTTATTTGACAAAAAAATATAAATGCTGCCGCACCATCTGTTTATGAAATGTCAACGTCAGCTGTCAGTGCCGAAATAAAAATGAGTCTCGAAGCAATGAAACAGGTGTGTGTTGAAGACTCGAGTCTTTTCTAAAGTATGTTGAATTTCATTAACTGTGGTAAATTTTGAATTAAAATATATTATTAAGAAAATTAATTAAATAATTTTTAATATAATTACAATTTTACAATTACAATCATAATTACAATCGAATTGAAGCTTTCATAATAAGTACAACTAATAGTTAACTGCAAAAGTAAATGCTTTATAAATTAAATTGATGGTGTTTTAGGCTGAAATCCTTGACAATAGAAATTTAATAATAAAAAATACAGTTAAAAATATTATATTGCTAAAAATTTTTTAACAAAAAAATCGTTGTTTTAGATATTTTTTACTAAAGAATATTAATTTACTGCCTATATTAAAGTGTGTAGGTAACTTGTAACTATAAAAAGTCGGGAGTACAATAGATTATATTAGAAATCTTTTTGAAACACAACAGAATATAATATATATAATATATATATATATATATATATATAGAGCACTGAAATTATTTACGAAAACTGACAGACTTACTAAGGTATGCAGATCGAAGGTTAATTATTGCTTAGTCTGATGAAGTGATAAACATTAATTCAGTCAAGGCGTAAAGAGGGGTTTTGAAGATACTTCGAGTTAATAAAGAGTAAAAGTGCTCCAGTGCACTGGCTCAAATAGTTTTAACATAAAAGAAAATATGATATATATAAAATTCGGAAAAAAATTAAGAAAATTTTGGGATAAAAGTGATTTTTCAAAAACGTTTAGTTAAAATTTAATGCAAAAATTAAAATATTTTAATTATAAAATATTTTTATTACCAAAAAAAAGAGAATTACAATTTTAATTTAATTAATTTATTCCATTGGATTTACTATTTGCACCAAAGTTCATTTAAACACAAATATTGGCATGTTGTGCTACTATAGGTGAGGACCAGATGCAAAGAACCACCTTGATAATAGGAGAGAACCAACTTAATAAGCCTATGAACGTGATGACTCTGTGACTAATTTTCAAAGATGAGAGTTACCCTATAGACTAGTTTTGGAACCTTTGTATATAAAAGGAATTAGATACACTTGTGAGGAAGATGTTTCGTAAAATCAATGATATCGTACCCGATCGTAACAAGTATTAAATGAGATGGAATAATTAGCTAGGTATATTTGTATGAACTATACCTCAACTTTGGTATACTTGATTAATTATTTACTTTCGGTTTGAAGCAACATTCTGTTAAGAAGACTTATTAGGTCTCCTTATCCAGTCAAACGCGGCTAAAACTCCTCACCAGGGTCTCTTGGGAGAACTTGATTTCTCGATCTTTTTTCACTTCTTCGTACATTTTCTTCCTTCAACTGCTTCTTTAAATACCTTTCTCTCTATATACTCGTTATCCATATTCACGATATAACTAAGCTTGCGAAGACGGTAATGTTAATTCGCTGAGTGACGTCAGTATTATGATAAAGTTCGCACATTTTGTGATTCGTACGAATAGGGTAGTAGTCACCAACTCGCAGAGGACCAAAGATATTACGAGGTATTTTTCTCTCGAACACTTTTAGTACTACTTAATCCTTCCATGAAAGTATTTATGTTTTCGGATCGTACGGATTGGGTAGTAGTCACCAACTCGCAGAGGACCAAAGATATTACGAGGTATTTTTCTCTCGAACACTTTTAGTACTACTTCATCGTTCTATGTTAGTATTTATGTCTTTGTGCCATACAGAAGTACAGGTAGAACAAGTGATCTCCAGAACAAAAGTTTTGGCGGTCAAGAGTTCTCTCCACACTCTAATTGTCTACTAAGTCCATAGTGGTAGTAGTTTTTCGTCTCATTTCAAAATTGACTCTGTGCTTGTCAGATGCTGTAATCAAGATTAATATAGTTAAGTGTACTAAAGTTCGTTGGCCTTGATGGCTTGTTTATGTCATAGAAAACTAGATACTGCTAAGGCCAGCACGGTATTAAATACGTCAGTGAAAAATTCAGTAAACGTTCTACGCATCTTCGGTGAGGGTACAAATGATTTAAAGGTAGCCTGTACTATCAACTGACGACAGCAAACCGCTGATTGGTTTGGTTGGTGGAGACGACTATACGTGGCCCAAGACGATATATATCTATAAAGTCCAACTAAGTGAGTAAATATTTATAAAATACTAAACAAAGGGATTATTTATAGTATTTGACGTAGTGAGTTTTTCGTTTTATTAAAAATACATAATAATTCTATACATTATTGTACATATTTATATACATACATGATAGTAAATTGGAAACATATAAGAAGTATACTCGTACATGTCGAAATTAAACTTAAGACAAGTTAAAATATAAATTTGAATTTGGGACTATTTAATGCGTTATGTACTCGTTATAGTTTGCGGCTTGTCATAAAAATAAAACTTAAAACTAATGGAATGATAAATTTTAAATAGAAATAAAATATAATAAATTTCACAGTGTAGACTGTTGTAGTTGGGCTATAAAAATCACTGAGAGACTACAACAAAGCGTGTCAGCGGTGACTTTTGTACGCTATTGTCAGTCAGTTCGTTTACTTCCTTCGCTCGTACAAATATTCATCTTCATAATAACGTGGGGTGGAGGTGGCAACAAAAACTTGTGGTCGACGTTGTTGTAGTGAAATGTTAATTTCCTCGGGAGTACGATAGACTTGTTGTTGTTGCTGTTGGAAGTGTTGTAATTGTGGTGTGGCTGTAAAGAATCTGTACGGCGTAGGCGTTGCTGCTGGTGCCACGGTCTGTGGACGCAATTGTTGGATTTGTGGTTGAATTTGTTGATGAAGAAGTGGTTGTATGGTGGTGGTAGGTATTGGTTTACGGTAGACAGTGGTTTGTTGTGGTGCAGGTTGATGTCGCACTTGTTGCACAGGCTGTGGTGTTGGACGTGTCTGTTGGTATACCGGTTGTATTTGCTGCTGTTGTTGGAAACCAACTTGAACCTGTAAAAAAACAATAATTTATGTATAAGTTTGAAAAATTTGAAATATATTAAGTGAACTGCTTAATGAACTTACAGGTTGACGTTGGTGATTTACACGTTGTCTTGGTGCTTCATCATCATCAACGTAACGATCGTTTTCATAATAATTTTCAGGGTAATAACGTTCAGAGTAACGCAACGTAACGTTTGGTTTTGATTGGTGTTCTTGTAAATTAATTGGTTTATAAAGATAATCATTGACTATATGGTATTTTGATGATTGCTGGCAAATATTTTCATTAGACGGTGGCATGCAGATGAGGTGTATCTGATGGAAGGTGAAACCTTCTGGACAGATCCATGAGTGACGTTGATTATCTTGGCAATAATGGAATACTTCACAATTTAATGATTCATCCGCATAGTAACTGTAAATATATTTTATTTAGCATCTTCGGTTCAATGGTGACATTTGATTGTATATAATTACTTACCCTGTAGTTTTGGTATTACAATTGAAACTTGATTTAGCCAATAATGTTGAAAGTCTGTCTGGTTCTTCTTCCTCTTCTTCAGTTTCCTCCTCGCTTGATTGTTTTTTACCAGGTCTTAGAAAATTGGTTTGTTGTTTATTATTTCTGCTTTGATAAACTTGTCGTGGTGCTTCCTCTTGATCTTCTTCTGATTGACTGTAGTCATAAACAGGACGTTGCTGTTGTCTATAGCCTAGATGAGTCTGTGCTTGTGTTTCAAAATCATCTTCTTCTTCATTTGCGTCAATTGAACGTGCTGAAAAGCCTTTGGGTGCTTCAGTAGTTGCAACATCCGCAGCAGCAGCTGCAACCGAACTACATGTCAGGTACGTTGCAAAGACTAGGAGTAAGAGACGTAGGCTGTAAAGAAGAAATAAATTATTTGTTTTTCGTTTTCAAAAGTTTTTGATGTTGAAGATATGGACATGGATATGGACATATGGATATGGAGATATGGAAGTTTATGTTGACATATCGAACAGTTGTAGTTCTTAAGTTCTTAATCCCATTAAAGTCTTTATTGCTATTGCGATTGTTTTTAGTTTTCACTGATTATTTGCTGGTTTTATAAGATTTACTCGTTTTTTTATGAAGAGCTTACGAACAGTAGTGAATTGCAACAACGAAAATTTTTATTGATGTGTTGGAATATAGTGCAGTTCAACCATCGGTACACAGGCACAGTGCCGGAGTGAGTATATGGTCTGCAGGTTTGCTGAAGTCCTAAATAGTTTTCATTTTATGTTTCTTGAATCAAGGCTATCCTCGATTCTAGCGAACTTACAATCTTTTTAAAAGACCAGAAATCGTTTGTTACAGTGGTGTGAATTCATTTATGCTTGTAAATAGTCATTAATGTATGAGATGTATGTGTCAAAGTGTAGGTCTGACTTATGTGTTTTTCAAAGTCTTTTTAAGTCATCTCATCTGTTACCTCATTTCTTTGTCTAGGAACCCAGTAAAGAGAGACCTTGTGATGTTCAATGTTCATGACATGTAACTACAATTCTCAATTTTGCTATTTTGAATTCGTTTGCTTTCGTTGCTTGCTGGTTGTCTCCAAAGATAGTGATATAAGAAGGATGAATTGTATTAATTTGTATGTTAGCCTTGCTGCTTTTCGATTGTGTAGATCTTAAAAGAAAGGCCTGAAGGACTTTGCAAGTATCAGGTAGTTACTTTAAGCTAGTTTATAAAACTCGTTTGCTTTGATAGAGAAAGAAAATTGCCAATAATGAATACATCATAATCATCTTTAATCATATTATATTCATAAAAATATTATTATGATTCTGAGCTTCACATTTGGCAGGACCCGAGTTCGATACCTGCTACTTGCAGTCTCAAAAATAATTATTTACGAATAATTAAATACAAGAATTATTTCCAAGACCACTGATGATGGGTATTTGGGTACTCGAAACAGCTGTATAGTCAGCAAAAATTCAATTAATTAAAATAATATAAAAAATAAAATTTTTGTTGTTGTATTTTACTACTGTTCGAAAAAACCTCTTTATAAAAATATTATACATATAAGTATTCTGAGAAATATCATAATATCAAAACAAACGAGATATCATTTTAGTTCATTATAAATGAAAATTTTGAGATTACCCTTTAAGCGTATTCCATTGAGCGATAAAATTAGAGTAAAGACTGTCAGATCGGGTGTGAATCAAAATTTATCCAATTATCCAAACCTTGTAAATAATCAAATCTATTATAAAAATTGCTTATAAATATTTTCTCTACCTGACTTTATTATCCATAAAAATAGTTACTAAAATTTAATCGATGAACGTGAGGCGCCAGAAAAAAATCAAATTCGAAAACCAAGTGGCATGCAATGGATTTAATATTCATTCCACGTTTCACTGTTGCAATGTCAAGAAATCAAATTTCAGGAAGATGAACAAAAATTATTAAAAGTACATATTGTCAACTATGTATTATTAGTGAGTGCTGCTTATAAGAAATAAAAAATATAAAATATTTCAATGGAATTTAAAATTGCATAAAACCAACTTGACATTGTCGTAATCATGAAATTATTGTACGCCTCATTGGGAGAAAGTTTGATTGTTTTTAAATGTACATTTCTTGAAGACATGCCAAATTAAAGTTTAATTTCTTATGCATAGGTTATATGGTAATATTTTATAGTTTTATTGAAATTTCCTAGTTAAACAAGCAATAGAAAAAAACAAACCTACAATAAAAAAACTGAAGAGCTTGTAGTATTTGAGTGACTTTATGGAACTTCGGAACTTCACGCATTTTGAAGTTCAAATTTGTCAAATGTTAGAGCATAGGGAATCTCCCAAAAATATATGAACATCATATGATGTTTAAACTTTTACTATTATACATAGTCATATTTAACAAAATTATGTCAAATATAGAAGAGAACAGTTGCTCAAATAACTCGAACATCTTCTAACAACCTTTCCAACACTAATTCTGCATCTACACTAGTCAGATTTTCGCAAAACTTTTGCAGACAAACTCAATTTTTTACTAACTCAATATATTTATATAAAAAAATTATCAAAGATTAGTCCATGTAGACGCTGAGTGAAGGTGTTTCATCTAACCCTGTGTCTACACGGGCATATTAAATTCTTTGAAGTCTGTAATAGTACACTACGCTGAATATATATGAGTTATTTATGAAAATTTAAGAGATAGTTCACGCCAACATAAGGACCAAACATAAGATAGTCTCCGGTTTCTCAAGACTGGTAGCTCCAAACAATTTCATTTAGGGTTTGGGGTATGTTAGGCAAAAACAAAGGATATGTTCTAGGGTTACCTTACTGTCAGGTTTCTAAAGGTTCCAGCAATCGCTCAAGTACTGACATTTAGCAAACTTTGATAATTATAAACTCTGCAATCCTACAGTGCCCTTTTAGAGTATTAAATAACGTTTCTGGTTCTTTTGATCAAAGACAAGAGACATTTATGCCGTTTTCGATTGGTAAATTTGGGGCAATTTTTTCAACATAGTTTCACATTTAGTGCAATTTTTATTCGCGATCGGTAAACCTCGAGCGATATCTGTAACTCTCGAGATTAATTTATAACTCTCTAGATATTTTGCCAGAGTAGCAAAATTACCCTAAAATTTACAGCAGTTTTATATGACTTGACAAGTAAAGTGTGATTTGATTCGACATATATACTTATGTATATGAAAAATATAAATTCCTATCAACAAAATCACAAAAATGTAAGATTACTCTAAAAACGTTTGACTGAGCAACAAAATAATTCTGGATTTACAAATCAAAAACGTCATTAGTGCATTTTTTTCGAATATGTACTTGCAGATAATACAGCAAATTATGCAAGTACTCAAGTCACGCCTCCTGATCACATTTTTAACATATGTATATTCGTCGAATTGTTTATATGTATCACGCAGAGGTCTCATCTATTTGATCAATTGCAAGGTTAGCGCCAATTTTGGCAATATTGTCAACTATTTTATATCTCTCTATGTCGTTATGTTCAGGAACCCAATATACACTTAGTCACAACTATGGATTAATCTGTTTATAGCCTCCTTGCATTGTTGAACATTTTTGGGGAGATACTACAAATACTACAATACTGGCTGTCTACAAAGAAGATAATGCTATAAATATTTGTTTCCTTCAAGCAAACATGTTCTACCGTTTTTCTAAGAGCAAATAATTTTGCCAAATATACAGTGCAGTAGACGTAAATTTCATGCTTAGTTCAGCAGAGTAGCTCGCAGCTCCAATTCTCCCTTATATTTTAGAAAAGTCTTTATAGATATTGAATATATTATGACTCGGTTCCAAAGCTCAGCGCTATTCTTTAATTTCGGTAATTATTTCTATACTTGTACGTCATTTATAATCATTATATCATTTGACTACTTCAAACGTATTTTATTTGACTATAATCCATCTTCTAAAGCCCCTGTTTAGTAATAATTGTTTCAACCTCAAAAATAGAAAGTTATTATATACTCAAATAATTAGGCCATGACTACTATACGGATGTGTAACATACAGCAAAGCTTCAAATACTGCCATAAAGCAATTACAGATAGCACAAAATCTGGCTTTAAGAAGAGTTATTAAGATTCATTGGTATATTAGGACAACAGACATGCATAAAGATCTAAGAATCGGCTCAGTGAAAAAATATATCAAGGACAGAACCCTAAAATTATTCACAAACGTCGATACGTTGCCGAACCCCGCCCTAACAAATCTTAAGTCCACCTCAGGACGCACAGGCAGATATGCTGATCTACGGTCCATCATCAGTTAAAAGATAAATAAATGATAATAATTCCAGTATAAAGCTTAGTGCGGGGATAAGCCACAAAGGGAATAAGCCCTTTAGCCATAAAAGAGTGAAAGTGCGCAATAGCACTAACTCAAACCACAACAACAGCAACAATCAAGCTAATGATATATCATATACATCATTTAGCGTGAACAGACAGCAAATATAAAGGTTAATCTACACAGGTTAGACTTTTGTAAGATTTCTGCTTGCATCTTCATTTGTCCACTTACAAATACGAATTTTAGTTTACAGACTATTATTCGAATATAATACTTATTTACATTCGAACATAAAAGTCTTGCCAAAATCTATCTAAAATCTAGATGATGAGTTATAGTGTTCGATTTAGTCCTACGTCTATACTGCCTTGACTTCAGCAGAATTTTTGACTGTATGTATGATGTAAGACTGTGTATCTCAATTTTTTACTAATATATACTAATTTTTGTTTATAGATGAAATTCGAAAATAATTTGTATGCATATTTATAATCTACAAGTGTAGATGATGAGTTATAGTGGTGAATTTAATCCTACGTCTATACTGGCTAGACTTTTGCAGGATTATTGATTGTATATATGATTTGAGATGATGCGTATGAGAAACTGTATGTCTCAATTTTTCATTAATATTTACGAATTTTTATTTATAGACTAAATTCGGAAATAATTTTCGAACACAAAAATCTTGCCAATGTTTAACCAATATAAACTCAGATTTAGATCGAACGCTATAACTTAGCGTCTACATTGACAAGACTTTGGCAAAATGTTTAAGTTCGAATATATAAAAATTATATGCCAAGGAAATGTTCGAATTCGAATATATTTTAAGGTGTCTGCGTAATTTGTAATTCTCCATCACTTTAAATCATAATTTATCACGCAATCTGTTCTTTCTCTTCTTTTTTAAACCCTCTCTAACCTAACAACATAGCTTAGTATGCCCTTTAGCTGGTTGTAGCTCTTAGCTAGCATTTGCAAACGCATGCGCAGCTGATATTATTCACCTGTGGTTCCTAAAAACATAAA